AACAACCTTAACAACACATAATAAATCAGAAATATTTTGTTTACCCCAAGAAAATTTGTTTTATGGCACTTCCTTGCCTAAATAAAGAGCTGTTTTCCCTTTAAAGCTGACAATGAAAAAGCATCAAAAATATTTTGATAATTTGTTTTGATAAAGCATTGCCCACTGACCATTTGCATACCTAGCATATATGTATATAAACAAGCAAATGCTTAAATTCCAATTACATTTCAAAAGGCATGGCAAAATTTAAGGCAATATTGGACAGCTGAGTCTATACAAATATCAAAATTAGAAATACTGTCTGTTGTTACGTGATTTAAAATCTAGTTAATGTTTCATTACTTCTGACCATAAATCTTCCCATTAGATTTCCACAGAGTCAAAATTGGTATATCATTGCAATTAAATATGAAAAATAACAACTGATTTTATAAAAATTGCATATTCACCGGCAGGTCCATAAGTTAATAAATAAATTTAATAAAAGTTAGTCACTTTATTAGTCAATATAAAAGATATGGTAAAAAAAAAAGTGCTCTAGTAATTGTATTGATTTCATAAAAATCATGAAGAGAAGCTTAGTCTGGCTAGCTTCATATTTTCAATATTTTGTCTAAAACAAAATGCATCCTTTCTCCCACTTCACACTTAAGTATCCCTTCTCCCACTCCACACCTAAGTATCCCTTCTCTCCCTCCACGCTTTAGTATCCCTTCTCCCAGCTGACTTGGTACTTGAGTGGCAGTCCCTGGACATATCTTTCATAGTTCTCACAGACCACTTCTGCCACCTAAAAGTAAAAGATTTTGACACATTCAAAGAATTCAGAGGGTGCAGTTGATATTTCCATAAATGCTTTTGCATGTAATGTGTGAGGAACATTCTGTCCATGCACTGTTTGGTTGAGAGAGAGAAAGAGAGAGAGTGAGTTAACATAATTTTTCATATTTTTTATTCTTTTTATTCATTTGCATTTCTGTTTCTTAAAGTACATAACCTCACTGTATTTTTCTCTTCCCTATAGTTTTTATGTAGCCAAATAATTATATATCTAAAAGAGAGGGAGAGAGACTGACCTGCCATCCAAAACTGACAGCAGCAACGTGTGGACTGAGTGTGACACCAGGGCAGGTCCAGAGCTTACTGCTGGCAGGAAGAGGTTCTTCTGGATACACATCTAGTATAGCACCTGACAGCCAGCCTTGGCTGAAATCACACAAATAGTTCTGATCAGTTAGTTGTAGGAGGTGTAATAAAATGACTTATATCACAGAGACTGTTTTAGATGAGACATAAAAGCCAAGATCACAGAAATTGTGTTTGGTGAGACTTGTCAGCTAAGATCACAGCAATTGTGTTGGATGAGACAAGATGGTTGAAATCAGAGATATTTCAATATTAAAATCATATAAAATATATAAAGATATATAAGTCAAAATAGATGAAATTACACATTGTTTTAGGTGAGACTAAAAGGGTTATTCAACGTATTAGATGATACAGGAACAAGGTGTAATGCCAGATCATTCTACAGCTTACCTTACTGTAATTGCAATGATAATGTTATAATTACTTACAGAAAAACTGTCCTACACTATCTTTCTTCTCAACTTTTCCTCACCTTATTGCATTTACAATGGTGTCTTCATCCACTACATCTCCTCTTCCAACATTTATGAATACTGATTTCTGAAGAAAGAATACATCCTTCTTTCAATCCATGCAGAAAAAAATTGTGGTGGGGGAGAGGTTGATACAAGTACAGGAAGAACCAAAACTATCCCTCATAAAAATGTAAGGTGTGTATTGTTGCTTATCGATGATTAAAATATAAATTTTCTATACTTAATTACCTTATTAGCACAATGTTTAAAGACATCTCCATTCAGCAGACCTCTGGTCTCGGGTGTACTGGGTAATATGTTACATACATAATCACAGTTGTGGAAAACTTCTGGCAGCTCTGACAACAGTCTGAATTCAAATTAGTAAAGCATTTAAATCATCTTCAACCCTGGCTTTACTTCTGGCTGCAAGTTTGCCAATTTAAGGCACTTGACATTTCAAAAGCTTGCCAAAATTCGTCTGCCCTCTTTGTACACTTAAGGAAAACTGGCTCTGAAATCTAGGGCAAATGTAAAGCCATGCATGCCTATTTTTAAATTTTCAACTCACTTGTAGTGGGACACATAAGGTGATTTGTTAGAATCTTCTGGTATACCTCTTACAGCCCCGTACACTGTCATTCCAAAGGTTTGGCAGGCTCGAGCCACTGAAATAGCAATTTGGGGATATCTTATTCAACTACACACATACACACACGCACATACACACACAAATAAACATCATAAAAAAATGTAGAACTGTATATACAAACTGCTTATTACTTCAATGAAATCAATAGCCAAAAGGCAATAGATCAGTATTTAATTAAATAACATGGCAAACCTGATTCCAAAGATGATATTCAATAAATAAAGCATATTTCTGCAGAAAATATGAAATCAACTTGGTAAATGATTTTAATGAAGGAAATTCCTGGAATAAGTTACCTTCTTTTCCAATTTCCCCCAATCCCAGGATTCCCAATGAGAGAGTAGAGAGAAGACGGTAGTTTGCTCTGGCTGACCAATTCCTGCATACATAAAAGAATTAAAAATTACTGACAAAAGTAAACCAAAGACTACAGGAATAAATGAGAGTATGAATGAAAATATGGCATTTTTTTTCTATACAATACAAATTGAGGTGCCAAAGAAACTGTTACCTATTGCTAACAGTGACAATAAGAAATGTCTCCAAGTGAACACCTTGCCTTCAAACACTTGGCACATCAACACTTAAACATATGACATTCCTCAGGGGCGGATCCAGAGATATTTTCTGACAGTCTTCCAAATTATCTTTGTTGATCCATCTTCCATTTTTGACCGTCTTCCAACAAAAAACATTAGATGGCTGACAACGTAAACTTGAAAATCTGACCGTCTTCCAGAAGACCCAGAAGACGGCCTAAATCCACCCCTGTTCCTGAAGCCTGTTATAAAATGGAATGAAATCAGGCCTGTAGCCAGCAGTTTTTATTGGGGATAGGAACAAATCGTGAAAAATATAATATCATTTACCACTTGCATCTCTCCTGGTCCTGCCTCATTTCTTGAAAATGTCTTTCTCTTGCCACAATGTTGCCAACAACATATTCTGCCATAGCGGGCCCAAATTTCCCAGCAAATCTTGTCAATGTGAAATCAGGGAAGGGTTTTGACTGGTCTACATACTGGAATACTTTGTCAGGTCCTGTAATGCACAAACAAACACATCAAGAAGATGTCACTATCAAAAAACGTGCATGCTCATACATGTATATGAAAATTATATGAAAATGAAAGGTGACCCACATTGCTTCTCGCTGAAGATCAGATTTAAGTATACTTCCATGAAGAAAAGGACATGCAGTAATTACTTGATCTTTTCAATGGGGGAAAATTGTGAATTTTATAGATGCTGTATTTTTTTAGTGATTTTGATATGACTTCTTAAAATTAAACATTCCTATTGAGTGGCAGCAACACTAGTTCCTTGCCATGCAGAAAAAGTACCACAGATGCTACAGAGAAATATAATTTTGTGATTATAAAATTATGTTTCTAAAATGTTTGATAATTTTTTAACCACTGAAAATATCGAGTAATTATCGTATTTACTCACCAGCCCATGTGGACATCACCCACTTCATTCTGGGCAGTCTGTACAAAATGGGACCAAGTATGAAGGGATCTGTGAGTAAGACCTCAGCATCCTTCAGGGCAGAGGCAAGAACATCTGGGGGTGTCTTAACTTGAAAAATATGATACAACTTTATGTCATATGCACATTCTAAATTGAAATAGGAAAGCTGATTTTTGTGAAAGATTTATAGGCAGTGACAGATACCGATAATTAAGTGACATATATTTGTCTAATGCAGTGACACATTTACCATATACATCTCTTTCTTCTTTGCAAATCTTCGCATGAAAGGATTATTTATACAAGGAAAATGTATTACTTTTACTAGCTCTTAGAATAATTTGGTTGATGTAAAGATTGTTGGAAAATTGTGTTATTCAGACCACTTTTCCATACTAGAAAAGTTGGCTTCAAAGCTTTACTTAGCAAGAAAATTCATGCGTTTGCACTCCTATTGACGATTCTGATATGTACTGTCAGTGCTAGTACATATCAGAATTGTCAGTAGGAGTGCTAACGCATGAATTTTCGTGCTAAGCTTTACTGAGCAGGTTTTTTCTTTTACCTTTGTTCTGTACAGTAAAATACATTTATTTCAAATAGGGCACAACTGAAATCTTAACATTAGATTTGCTGCCACTAATGTTCACCACGCCCCCTTCCAAAGAGCCCCCCCCCCAACACACACACACACACACACACACACACACACACACACACACACACACACACACATATCAAGTTTATCACTTTATAGTCGTCTGACATGAATTTATCTTCATGTACCAACTAAAGTGGCAGGTTTTATGCTCTGGTTCTAGAATCCAGTATGAAACTACCGAGACCTGCTTCACTTCTTCCAGCTTCTATGGAATTTCATGCTACACTGAACATATCATGTACGAGAAAAAAATGCAATAATACTTCTGGGGCTGCATCACACTTACTGCCACTGAGTTCTGCTGGATCTCCATCGATTTTTACTTCTTTCACTTCAATGTTCGGGTTGATATTTCTTATAGTTTGTGCGATCTCAGGAATGACACTGGCCAGGTACAACACGGGTCTTCTTGCAGTAGCAGTCGCCATCCTTAAGCGGCAACATACAGTTTACTTTTGTGTGATTTGTCAAAATAGTATATACTAAGGTTTCTGATATCAACATTCGAATTCATATTCCTTTGTAGAAAAATTCATGGTTTAAGTTTAATTATCTGGACTCATAAGATGGGGTGTGTTTTTGTGGTATTGTTTTCAAAATAGTACAATCCCGCAGAAAATCTTGCGCGAAGTTTAAAAGGGGAAAGTCCACTGAGTCGCAGTTATACGGGTTTCGTTTTGCGGTCGGGTGACGCGACTGTTGCTGCGGGAACACCTTAAGGGTGATATCAGGGCTTTCTGCAAGGATCAAGGTGACGAAAGCAGAAAGTATAGGCCCCTATGGCCTCCAGCCAAAGCGTACCGCGGAAAAGAAAACTCCCAGCTTGGATGAAACTCAAAACTGAAACTAAATCTGCACAGGTAGCAGGGGTTTTTGATAGAATTCCTTTCTGTAATATACATCTAAAATGACATGCAGCTAGATGAGACTGTAACAGTGTAAATAGAAATGCTAAGCAATGCATGTGCATGAAAATCCACGCTACTTAACAGATTGTTCTATCTATCTTTCCACTACTAGTACTTTTATAGTTCAATAACATATCAAGCTCTACCCCCAGGTCCGTCAGTCACTTTTGTAGTATATGTACATACAAGTATGCTTATGTATTACCTCATTTTTGTTCGATATGGCCTATTCACAAGCATGCTTGGCAGTCACCTCTGTAGAATCTGTACTATCCAGAGATATTTTCTGGCAGTCTTCAAAATAATCTTTGTTGACCCATCCTCCATTTTTGACTGTCTTCTGACAGAAAAAATTAGATGCCCATCAAAGTTAACTTTAAAATTTCTGACTGTCTTCCAGAAGATGGCTTCCATCTACCCCTGCTGCACATACTAGTATGCATATTTATTACCGGATTTTTGTTTGACACATAAAATAAGTTTAACCACAGGCTTTTTTACCAGACAGGATTGTCAAATGGAGTCACCAAGAGCTCCGTTCTTGAGGACTCTTTGCCAGAGCTGAGGTTTACAGGAGGAATAATTTACTCACACAGGAAAGACGACTGCTCTTTGCTCTGCCAGGATATAATGTGAGTTTATTTTAACATATTAGGACTTTTAGCTTTGTTTTCTAATTGTACACAGTGCCAATGCTATAAAGTAGTAGCAGAAGAGTTCTTAACCTGTATTTAATGACAGATTTCAAGTTTGATATCTCTGTATGTTTTTATAGCTGTAGCCTGGAAACGCAACAGCACAATGCTGCAGTGGGGTTTGACATTGAGTGGCCAGTGACATACCAGAGAGGTAGAGAGGACAGGACTGCCCTGGTTCAGATATGTACTCCAGAGAAATGCTGCTACTTGTTCCATGTGTCCTGTATGGGAGGCAGGTGACACACACTTCATATTGGTGAATGCAGGGGGAGTGGAGGGGGAGGGCAGATGGGGTGAACACTGGCAGATCTAGGACTTAACTTAGGAGAAGGCATAAGCTTTTTTATTTATTTATTTATTTATTTATTTGGGCTTGCTTTACTCAGCATTGTTGAACTTGATGAAGGGGAGTCAGTCAAGTAATAGATGCTTTGTTTTATTGAAATGTGAACTTTTATATGCTACATGTGCACTGTTCTTAAAATTCAATATACATAACAGACCCTTGACTTCCCCCCTTTTTCCAAACCTTGAACTGCCATTGCACACATGTGCACCCGTGAATCCACTTGTGCAGACACACACACACATATTGTAAATCAGTTATTTAGAATTAAATAGGAGACTTAACTTGAGTAAGGCATGAGTTCTGTTATAACACTGTTCACCTTAATTTCAGAGTTACCTAAAGGTTTGAAAGAGCTGTTGTCTCATTCCAAGATAAAGAAGGTTGGTGTAGGGATTGACAGGTAAGAGAAGGAGCAAGAAAGTTCAATCTGACTAATTTATAGGCAGGCCATAGCCAGGGGGGGTTCAAAGAACTGCCCTTTTTGCCAGAAAAGGTCTGCTCTGAGTAAAAATTTATCTTGGTACAGAAAGATTTCATGATAAAAGGCCCTTTTTTTTTCAGAAAAAGGACCCCCCCCCCCCCCCCCTTTAAAATTGCTGGCTATGATAAGTGTAGTTTATTTTTTGATGACTCATGTCTATTTAATGGCAACAGACAGGCACCCTGTACTTGTATACACACACTACAGTTGCAATCTGGTGCATGCATTTGATGCTGTCAAATATTTGGATATTATTTCATCAAAACCAATGGAAATAATATTTACCACACAGCTCTTATTGAAAAAAAATTCTATCTCTCACGTCAGTGACCTGTGGAAGTTGGAGCGCGATTTTGATATCAGAGTGAAAGAAATCATAGATGGCAGCACTATAGATCTGAGTGTGATGGCCAATCGTGTAGTGAACAGCAGCCAAACTTGGAGCTTAGATGGTCTTACTAGATATCTGGTTTGTAACTGTACACATATACCTAGCTCAGACGTTTTGAAAAACATGAAGCCACTTCAGCTTTTCAAAGTGCCAGAAATTGTTTTTAATTTAGTAATACCTGCTGTTTTTAGAGGATAATGCCCTAGAATAATCATGAATTAAAATTAATAACAATTAATGGAATTATACATCAAAAAACAAACTACAGTGAATTTTGTACTTGGGTTTTCTAGTATTTCATTTATGTGTGCATTTTCAATACATATTGAACTACTTTCTATGGTTTTTTAAAATAATTTAATTGTTGTACAACTACATGTACTGTAAAAACTTAACCACAATTTTAGAATTATAATCATTATTATCAATTTTATTAAGTTAAGACAGAAGCTTTGCAAGGACCCCTCAGTGAGGAAAAGTGACTGGAGACAGTTTCCACTGTCATCAAGACAGCAGATGTATGCAGCTACTGATGCTTATGTAGGTAGAAATGGTCATTCTGCCTCTGAAATAGACATTAATAAGATGCCTTCATTTTCTCCATACATGATGTTTTTAGTAGAAGACCTTTATGAGAAGAGACAATATACATTACTTGGAAGTTAGTATTGTCAAGTTTAAATGTTTAAATTTATTGCCAATTGATAAAATCTCTATGATTTTAATTTCGTTTTTTCAATTGTAATTTCTCCCTTTATTTTTAGGCAAGCTTGATACTATATGAAAAACTTCTAGAACAGGAAAATTTTGCACAGAACAGTTCAGAGAAGATATGAAAAGGTTCTAGAGACACTTTGTCTGTCTGTTAGTTTTACACCAACATCACTCAAAAATGTATGGATGGATTTTAATTTAATTTTCAGGGTAGGTCAAAAATGGGCTAACTTTAAAGTAATTAGATTTTGGTGGTGACCCGTTTTTCTCCAATGGCTGTGACCTGTTGTGTAGTGAATGTGCTCTCAACTACCACAATATTTAGTGTACAGACCCTGTTGGAGGTCTGTGTTCTCTGGGTGTATTTGTAGTTTTGTAATGTTTAAGATGTGTTTCGATGATCAGTTTATTCAAACAATTGTAAATGTTTAGTTTTCTCACAAGAATAAATAAAAATCAACATAATTTAATGTTACTTTTAAGTTTCATTTCCCAAATGTTCATGTTTGGCATCCTGACAGGTCCAAAATGCACTAGTTTGGAACTGCTTGTATTCCTTCCTATGTCACACCACTCTTGTAGAATTACAAACCATCCATAACAACAGATGTGCCTTAACAAATAGGTACTTATTTTTTAGAAAGCATTATTTTACTTTGAAATGAAATTCATATTTGTTTCAAAATAGCCCATATCAGAATCCCTTCTCTTTCAAAGGTATTATCGCGGTCTTTCCCATTTCAAAACTTGAGGATCAGAAAATGTTTTATTAGCCTCCCTGTCTTCCAACAAGCGGTGGTCTTACAACTAGCCCTTTTGTAGCACGTGATCTCTATGGCGACCTGATCTCGTCCACGGCAGGTAACGACTGGGACTGGTCGCTTGTCGACGGGGATGTCGCCGCCGGAGATGTCCATGTTGGTGACCCACGTCTGGTCCTGGCGTACCGCCGCCGTCGCCTGGATTTCATTCTTTGAAAGAGAATGTTGCAGGCTGCTGCGAATATCCCCACGGTGGCCATACTGCCGAAGAGACCACCAAGTATGATGCCTATATTGTCCCCGTTTTCTCCTGCCTGGTTTGCCTCTTGGTCCTTGCGCCCCGTGCTAATAGTGTCTCCTGGGCAGTTGTCTGGAACAAACCAAGAAATGCATGAACATGGTTTTGAATTGTGGACACGCAAGATGAGGTTAAACTAAGTGTATGTGGGCCAACATGTAAAAAGAGATTATTCCAAATATATGACGCGAATTTATCACCTTTGAAATATTGAAAGTTGAAGAGTTTGTCAAAGTAAAATCGTAACGGCAACTAATGTAACTGGGAAAATGCCTTTCTGAATATAGCATTTTGACACCATACTTGAGGAGCATGCATGTATACGTATGGCACCTTGACTCCCGAGACTGCAATTTGCCAATATTCTTATGCCCATAAGTTGTACAATGCTTTCCGTACACGCGTTTAGCCAATACGCCCGCAGTAACTAGTACATACCGTAAAACACGCTTGAAATACGCCCAAAATAACGCAAAACTACCAGGCACCTACCGTATGGACAAGTTTGTCCTATACGCCCGAAGTAGCAAACAAACTGCGTGGCACAAAAGGGCGTGGTCAACTGTGAGCCGTCACTGGCCTCCTGACACCAGCTACAGCCAGCCATGGAGTAACACATGCTGGAAGAAATAGCAACAATTTATAAAAAAGTGACGGGGCTAAAAGCAGGGATGGGTTTTGTGTGTGTCATATTTAAGAGGGTTCTTGCCTTATTTATTTTATTTATTATTATTATTATTATTTTATTTATTTATTTATTTATTTATTTTGACATGCAAGTAGTAATTAAAGATCGCGCAAAAAGTGAGCGCTGTTAAAGATACTTTCAATTATCATGAATGATAATGATACCGTACACCGATCTGTGTATTTTATGCTTACTTTCCTGGCACGCTGTTTTCAAATCAACAGATGTTATGTGCTATCATATACGGTCATTTGCCTTCGTTACGTATGCCGAATTTAGCATTATATACAGCAACCCACTACTGAGCAGGACCAGAAAAAGTAATTTCTTGTCCAAAATGGGTCCCGCGACGTTATTATTTACGTTTACCGCTATTTCTATCAAAAGAGGGATATTTTTCAATTTACAAGTATGTGTACGCTAACTGCATTCGAACGTACAGGTACATCGTTGAGATCTGCTCACGTGGGAATATATTATCTATCTATCTAGCTACACCCCTGGTAGTATAGGAAACTTATTGACTTACTCTTGCGTGGTCATGTTAGCACACTGTATATCGTAGCACGGCTTGAGCTGCTGGACCCGGCCGAACTCCCCTGAGGACATATCGGTAAGATCGGGGGTTTGTGGGGTGCACGCGTGAGAGGAAGCGGAGCTGAAATTAAACGGATCATTTACGTCAAATCTGCTTCGCAAAAGGTTTAAACAAAACATTCCCCACCGTTAACGCCCCCCCCCCCCCTTCTCCACCGAAGCTCTTAGCACTTTCACTTAAAAGGGGGAACGAATTTTTATTTTTTGAAAAGAAAGTCGCAGTAGAATATTAAGCTGGTTTCAGTAGGAACATTTGACAGCGAAAGCATTTTGATTTCCTTTGCAAAGTAACAGATTGATTGAAACTAACAAAAATATATCAGTGGTGCATTGAATTAAGGTTCACGTAGGCCTAGACTCCCTGAACGTGTTCAAAATACTGAACTCACTGGCTGATGTTGTACACGTGGTCGCAGTAATTGAAGAGAGCGTTCCGATAACATGGACACTCGCACACATCATCCGGGTATTCATCATCTCGGAGACAGGAACTGTTTCCAGGGTGACCCATGTAATTCTTATAATGAAAAATATTAGCTTGATAATAATATAAAAATACATATATGATAAATGCAGTCGTGAATTAATTTTGCTTCAAACTACAGCGACAATTTTTTTAATTTTTACATCACGCATAACGCTTTTTAAACATCTGTGCCAATCCGAGGAAATCGCTCGTGTAACTCTTTGAAATTATTGGTAGAAATATACTGATGTGCTGCTACGAAAAATCATTTGGGTAAAAGGAAAAGTTCTATGTGTCTTAATGAAACTCTCTCTCCCCCCCCCCCCCATACTAATTACTTTTGATGTTACAATACAATTAAAAACGAAAGACAGCGATGTCCTAATAATCTTGAACCTTGCTTTGCTTCAGCGTTTGTGTCCTGATATAAATATATACTTACATCACAAAGACAGTCATGGGTATCTGGTATGGGATGTTGCCGTATGACGAAAAACACGTTGCTATTGGTGATGGGCCTTAGTTCATAAGAAGGGCGCCGGCCCATGTTATCTACTCCGTCAGGGTAGGCCGAGTCTTGTAAATGCACCTGCAACAAAGGATTTTGCCACTACAAACTGTGAACGGCTTTTAATTCGTCATTTTAACCCTAACAAAATTTTTTCTCCAAGTTGCTCGTTATACAACAGTTTTCACTCATGCAGAGACGACCGCTCCTTCCATGATAACTTATTGAGTATTTAAACGTGCGGTGACACACAGGTTGGGTAGACTCTTCTTGGTGCGACAGTTCTCTCTGGAGTGTGTGGTTAAGCAATGCACGTTATAGGCAGAAATCCCTGTGTCCTCCATACCACTACCTCGCCCCACCCCCACCCCCACCCCCCCTCAACCGTAAGCCGCGACATGGTCTTACTTTGAGGATTTAAAGGGAAAACGCTTGCTGCTCATAGCGAGGCTACCTTGCTCATACCGAGGAAGATCGATTCAATTAAATGTAAACGCGCCTTAAAATGTACCATACTTACCCACCAGTAATGGCGTTCTTTAATGGCCTCGAGATCTACGCACGATTCTCTGCGTAGAATTCCTTTTTGTACTAGATCATACCCCACCGCTGGTTCCTTTTAGATGGGAAAAAGGTTTTCTGTTTAGTTTACATAGAATGAACTGTGATAAATCCATAAATATATTGTAATAAACAGTATTAAAACATGCAGGAAACGACCAAGTATTCGGACTTGTTGCACATTGGTTACAAAAACGACCATCATTAATTCGCCCATTTTGGTTGATTCCGATTTCTTAACCCAGTTCAAGATACCAGCGCATATATTCCAAAAAATTAACTTTAAAAAATGAGTATTACAAAAGCAATTGCATCAAATTTCACCACCGTTAGTTAATACCAGACTGATCACACCTGGAATAACATGTGCATGGTGGCGACCTGCGGCTTATCAGACACGGTGACGAAGTAGGGATGGAATACCAGGTAACCCGCGCTGTCGATTATAAAACACCTTTAAAAAAGAAAGAAAACGACGGAATAAGAAGAAAGATATTTTCGAGATACGTAACTAAGAAGTAATACGGCAAATATCAACAAAATGTAAAACTATTCGACAAAATTGGAATTATGCCATTAAAGGTTGAAGAATAATAACACCGATGCATGGAAAATATCCTAATATATAACAGTTACTTATATTTATTTCAGTTTAATTCAATTCTTTTCCAGAAGACAGACCGAGAAAAGTATGAACAATAAAATTTAAGTGTTCGCCCCTTCTCCTTTTTTACTTTGAATCCGTCGCTGTCGCACGTGCACTGTCTACAGAGATTCTACATCGCGGGTACAAATTATTGCTATTGCAACATTATTTAAAATGAAAAGGAGCTCACCCACCTGTAGGTGGCGCTTTTGCAGGGCCCGTACAGCTGCACGATCTGGTCAAGATAGTTCACCGTCATGTCGGTTGCCATGACAGCAACAATCTCTCCACTGGAAGAGTTCTTTCCGGCATATCTGAAAAAGATAAATTATCTAGGGATCTTAGAGGCCTCGTCAGTTTGAACATATGCCACAACAACAACAACAAAAGGCCTTTGCATGAAGGAATACTGTATGAATATCATGTATAGGCCTTAACATGTAAAAGAAACATCTTGATTTTAGGTTCTTTGATAACTTTGAAACGAAAACGTCTTTCATGTTACTCGACATTTCAGGTCTAGATACGCCCAAGCTTAGGTTATTATGTATTAAAATGGAAGTCGATCATTTTTTAGAACTAAATACAGACCAAATTGAGCAGAGCAAATTGAAAGTGACCTACCTGCTATCATAAATAGCGTGACTAAGCGTAACCACGAAACCTGCTCCCCAAGCGTCTAGATATGGCGCTGTCAACACGTTCTTGTTATTATACGTCGCCGTTCTCTTGAACCTAGTAGAAGTAATAGTATAACTTATTTTGCCCCATGCAAGATCCAGTATTTGACACGCAAATGATGGAAATGAAATTCTGCTGTAATAAATCAGAGTTCCTATATTACGTTATTCAAAAGAGAATCGTGGCAACAAAATAACACCAAACGCAACATCAGCGATGCTAAAATGCATGGAATTGTCAAGACTCGTATTACAAGATTAAAAATAAAAGAAATGTAAAATGAATGAGGATTTTTTTCAAATGACAACTTTTAGTATTTGTTCTCCGACAGTCAGATTATCTATCTGCATTTTTGAGATATGTTGAAACAGCTGTAAAGATCAACGAAAACGACACAAACCATTGTCTTTGTGTTACATCAAAATTCTTAGACAGTTGCACTCCTGGAAATACGCGCACAACGCCATCTACAGTTCCTATGTATCTCCACACCACGTAATGTGACAACAGCTGCTTGTTCTTCCAGATCTGTTCCGCCTGGTATGTGATGGCCACTGAGGCTTTCACCGAATCCTGAAAACAGAACATTATAATCGCACATAATTTAAAAGAAAAACCGACAGTGAAGGCATAACAGAGAGGTCAAGGCGAACTTTTTAATTTCTCTTCATGATGTTGCGAGGAGTAGCCTACCCTACCTTTAGGCCGAGATCATCAGTAGTATTTCCCATTAGATAACTTTCATATCCGTGCACGGACTCCAGGGTTTCATTGGTATCCAGGTAGAGATACAATTTCTTGAAAGCAATGGGACCAAACATCACAGTACTGGATGCTACAGTGACAAGATACCATTATAATTAGTTCTTATTAGTTATTACAATAAGTTTCTCTAAACATATGACATATATATTTTGACATATATATCTACAAATACTATTTTTTCTACCATTCCCTTTAAAGAACTTTTTATTTTGTTATACTATCCTTAATACTAACTTCCAATGTCAGAACTTCAAATTAGAAGTTATGCTATATTTTATCGATAAATATGTCCATTATTCCAAACATAAGCAAACTTCCAAAACCAAAACTTCAAATTATATTGTACATAGTAAAATTTATTTTATAAGCTCATTTTATATTTATATGCTAATTAGCGTTCTTAAATGTTTGACTATCTTGTTATCGGAGTAGTGTAATGAGGTCTATTATTTACTCGTGGTTGCCACTCTCGCAAAGTGCCTGCACTGGCTCTCTCCTGGCTTAAGGTCAAGTCTGTGGTACTTAAACATTTCAGGTGTAATAGTGTCCGGCATTTTCAGGGTCACCACTCTGTCACCGTCTCCAAGAACTAGGCACACCGAGAAGTTAGTACCAATGATCTGAAAAATGTCCAATGTTCAGGTGTTCTAGTAGAATATAGTGTTACATAGGGGGTTCTTTTCCCTTTTACTTTGTTACTCGCGTATGTTGTATCCAAGATATCACTCAAGTCCAATTTTACAGAAATCACATAAGAGCTTTGGCAAATTGGAATAAGACAGGTTGCTGTATTTGAATAAATACCATTGTCATTTTCTCCCTCCTTCATCATTAGGCCTACATACGATTAAAAGCGATGATATTCTCCATGTCGCATTAAAAATAATTGGTGAGAGTCATGATATAAAATAGCCTACTCACTGGATGCCAAAAGTAATGGGAATACACGGGCACTGCATGGACACCCTCGCGGAAGTCGTCCCCTCGTGAATTGACCCTTGTCGACACAAATGACTTGCTGCCATGGTTACCTCTGGAAAGTTCATTAGTTTTAGGTCATGTCGACTTAAGAATCTTACTCAATAACATTAATTCATTCGGCACTCTTTTTCAAGTACCACTAAGGGTGCTTTCCCAGAGATTTAGATCGATCTAGAGATTAAGATTTAGATCGACCTAACTCCCTGGGGGTTCACGCTAAATTGCAGTCAGCACCACAGTTAATTACCCCCTTACAGCTTTTAGTAGGCGGGACAGACGCTTAAGCCGGCCAAGCTGACAGTAATCTAGTGAGACTACCCACAGGGATAGATCGATCTAAAAATCTATGGAAATGGGGTCTAAGTCCAGTGGGCCAATGTCTAAGTAGTGTAAACGCAATTTTGCATTGTTCCAACACGTATTTTCTTTCGGTGACGCTATACAAGGGGTAGGCCTACGTCATACAGTGATATGTTTTACCTGTCAGACGAGAAACAATAACCACGCTTGGTTCATATATTTTCATTTATCTCATATAAAATCAAGATGCATGAACAGTAACCTTGCCATAGATTGCACGACTTCCTTAAATTCTGTTGACTTTTCGAGTTGGTTGATGTTGATGAAGATTTGGTCGGATTCAACATTATATGGTTTGGGAAGAAGAGGGTGAAAGATAGTTCTTTCAGCACCGTCTATTACAAAGGCATAGCTGACTTCCCCTTCACGAAGAGTGCTGATGTCTGTCAGAAGATCAGAGAGTGTGACGTCAGAGCACGTCACACCTACCAGCGTGTCGGCATAGAACACCGGTAAACAAAGTGACGTCACCAAACCTGAAATTTGATTATAATAATCTGAAAGTTATAGCATCCAGAACCTCTAAACAGTTAATTGACTTGTTTTATCTTTTTTGTGACTTTTTCTTCTTTAAAAATATACAAAATTTGAATTTCGAATAATTTTCCAACAAGCCTCTGATAAAACGTGGGGTTTTCAGGTACACAAATGCATATGCGAGTAACACTAAGCTTTAAACAAAAATATACCTTTTACATATATAAATTGGAAGTTAAATTGTCTGTCATATTGTTAAATTGTCTGTCATTTAGACAAAAACGTCTTTTATATACTCAGAAAATACCGACTCACCAAGGCCCAGGCTGTCCAGATACGGCACAGAGAAAATTGGCCGAGGGTTTTGGTGTATTGTGCAGAAGTAATCGTAATAAGAGGACATGGCTGACCGGAGGTGATCAGGGTCAGCGACATACGCAAACCTCCCACGCTGTAAAGGATGTAAAAGTATGATGTTGGCTAGCTGATTAACACTGCAAGGTTTCTACAATATATTACTAGGGACGTAGTTAGTGAAAATAGATCCTTTTGAAACGTTATGGCATATTGCCCCTGTCTAAGTATCTGGCACCCATTTTACCACAAAATTATAATTATCTCCAAAATGCACCAAAACCCAGTGAGGTCTGTCTTTTAACTAACATAGTATGAAACTTGTGGTTCGTTACTTTAACAAACTCTCTTCTTCTTTCTCTCTGCCTTTCTCTCTCGCGCGACAAAGTAGGCCTACCTTTATTGGACCATATGCTGGATTACTTGCTGATTGAATAGCCATGTTATATAGGACGGTTCTTCCCTCGTAACCAAGGGCTGTAAAATATGAATATTAATAATATACATTGTTTTTTTTTTTATTCATTTCAATAAATGACATTTTTGTTACTCGTTTGCATTAAAACAAAGGGATAATAACTCTTCGTTTTGGCCAAAAAATGAATTTTCCTGGAGTAAACAACAATTTTCCCATACTTACCAATGGTTAATGAATCCATTTTTACATTCAAAGTTAGTCCCTGTTTTTTTTCTAAAAAGTTTGGTTTTTTGTTAAAATCTCTTAAGAGATTTTAACAGAGTATAGCCATCAATAGAGTTCACATGGTCTGAAGACAAGCTCAGATATCAGAAAAAATGGCCGTTTTTGTGGTAAAACAGAATATATTATAGATCTATGAGTTATTCACAATGATTTTATTGTGAAATATAGATCTCATACGAAGAGTTATTATCCCTTTAAGCAGTCAAGAATCTCAAAATGAAGGGTCTACAAACTATGTCAACAGCATTAAACGACTGGAATAATCTAAATAAATCCATTTGACATCACTCCTAGTAATAAATGTAAAAGGTGTTCTATGGTAATTTACAGAATATTCTTGGTTTGTAAAATTCACGTTCATTCGTGTGGATTATACAGGCATTATTTATTTATGTGATAATCATATTCATGTGAAAAAAAATCTAACCTTAAGGGAATAATTTGCTGCTAATAAGTTTTAATTTATAAACTATTGGTTTTGGTAATAATTAGTTAAGATCTTACAGCGTCCTATACCAAACGTCAAAATGACCACTTTGTTCCCCAGTAAGGCGTTCTGGTCTCGTATTGTTTGCAACGGGTCTCCACCGGCTGTTAATATACCGTCCGTTAAGAACAATATGCTTGGTTCTGGAGTGAAAATAAACATTAATTTCGAACCCTTAATTTTCTCAATGACAGTGTTACTGTCTGAGTGGTACAATGCAAGCCATTAAGTCTTTGAGTACGACTTGAAATTTTCCACATATGATACTTCATATTGGAATACACTCTGTCTCATACTGACCTGGTATACTAAAATAATTTTTCATAATGCAGACGTTTTGCATATCTTCGAAATAAGGCATCAAAGGCAAGCAGGGCGGTATTAATTTGGACCCAGTTATTCGAAAAAGATGACTTAAACGTTGTTGAAAAAGAACATAAATTGAAAAATGACACACCAACCCTCTGCTGTGGTATTGGAATGTCTCAAGAACTCGAAGGCTTTGGTTAATGCAGCTGCGTAGTTGGTAGCGCCTCCTGCACTCAGGCCATCTATGAACTTTTTCAGGTTCTTCGCGTTCATGGGCGTGGCCCTTGACATTTTGGTTTCGTAGCACGTGTCCACGTTCTCTGTCACTATCTGGTGCTCAGTAAAACGTGGCGTGGTGGCAGAATCAGAGAAGGCAACGATGGCAAACTGTAAAAGGTTATTCACGTAAGGTGGCACACAATGGTTGAGCATTATGTAACTGTATAAGCCATTTAAAAGGATTTTTTGAATAAAATATAATATTTTAATGGAAATGGGCAGATGGAAAAAGTACAAGACAAAAACTATAATACATGTTCGTATAAAATTTATCAAATTTTATTCTTTCATTCATTTGTTTCGGGGTAGGGGGGCTTCCGAAGGTGAGACCACCCCCCCCCCCCCCCCCCAACACACACTCATGCACACACCAGCCGCTGAATATTTTACCCACGCTGTCATTTGGGTTCATGGTGTCCACTGCAGATTTGGCGGCTTCTTTAGCTATCTCTAACAACGTCCTCCCGTTGTGAGTATCCCCCATGGAGCGAGATGTGTCTATAACAATGACCACGGCTTTGGTCTTCTGTGTGGCTGCCTCCGCATACCAGGGTCTGGGGGTCAATGAAGTATATTACAGTAGTCAATGACAATTATTGAGCTATTTCAACAATATAAGTAAGACAGAACTTGAAAAAAAGTCAGGCTTCCGTTTCAGCCGCATTTCAAACTAATTGCATCGGCTCACCTTGGCAAACACCACATGTATCTCAGCCAACAGTGTGGTTATGGTTTTTAAGGGATCTTGGATATTAACGAAAAAGTCCAAAACTAATGCAGCTAATGAAATTTCCTATTAACTTAAAGAAAAGGTCTAGCAAGCCAAACAATTTTTCAAAGTTTGTAGTCACAGTGTAACACGAGTGACGTAATATCAGCGTTTTGAGGCTAAAATTGTCTTTTTTTTAATCAAGAATTTCTCTTAAACAAAAAGCCCTATTAATACGATTGAAATAGCTATCTAAAGGTTAGCACAAACTCCATTAAACTCTGTCAGGATTTTCTCTTTTTATTTTTACTTTTGATTTTATTTTGATAAAACGTGAATTTTACGAAATATATATGGACCTTCCAATTTCAGTATTAATAACTTCAAAAATAAAAGGTCAATCCAAAAACCAAGACTCAGACNAACCCCTTCGTTGTCTTGTCCAACGCAATTTTGATTTTAGGAAGTCGCGCGCATTTACATTTTTTATGGTTAGAAATATATCTACACAGGCGAAATTCGGTCGCCACATCGGACTGGACCCGTGGCCGCACAGAGTGGAACTACTACGATTTTCGTTATTTCTCCATAAAGTTAAAATAAAGTACCAGTCTGTGCACAGCAAACCTATCCTAAACAAAGATAAACAAACCAAAGCCAAACCAAGCCATAGAGGTAATTAACAAATTTTTAGACAAAATCATTTTTAAACAGCACTGACCTGTATCTTGGGTCGTAGGACTCACAGTCGTCCATCATCTGAGAGGGATAGGACATAAACACTCCAGTCTCCATGCCGAAGTACTGCCACTTCAGCGTCGGGTCGGCCGCCAAGTTCTCCTTCATTGTCTGGTGGACCAGCGCCGTTGGAAACTTTAGATTTGGAGGCGAGAGGGCTGCTGTAGACACGCAGCTTTCGTCGGTATTTATCTGAAATATATTTTTAATTTTGTGAAGAAGAATTCGGAATAAAAAAAAAAGGTCAGTCTTCTTTTAAAAGATAGAAGGATCAATTAAAAAAACTCCTTGTAAACGGATTTATTTCGATTGCATTTAGAATTTTTTCTTAATGCCTCATGCCATTTTCGTCTTATTCCCTCATTCAAAATACTGTGCCAAAGCATTTTTTTTTCAAAATTTTGAGAACGATTCTCTGAAAGAAGTTGTTCACCTTAGTCCGAAATCGAAAGTCATAGACTAAGTTGCCAGTAACATTGCAACATTTGTCCATCGTGTTAGTGTCAGTAAAATGTACGTATTGTCTCTCAATGGCGTTCTTCACTCTCAATAGGGCGTTCACAGGTTCGGCAAACTTCTTCTGCAGAGCAGCAGCAAGCTGAAAGAATAAGTTCTAGCACTGTCATCTTTGAATGCAAAGGAACAAAATGAACTGTTTACAGATATATTATGATAAATATGAAATGCGGTACTCAATCAATCTTTCATTAATGTTTTAAACCACTTTTTAATTCGAATATGCAAAGACACATGAATACACACAAAAACGGATGTGAAACTGACGTGAGTGAGTGACTCACTTATTATGCCTTACCTCCTGAATAGTCCGTGGGCCATCTATAACCCGTTCGTTGTAACCCACTTGGTCAAATGCTGCCTGTCAAGAAAAAGGTATCTTCAATTTATCGAATTCTTCTTTTCTTATAGCCCATTATGATAAACGGGGATTTAAAAATGAAAACGGAAAAAAATTAGTATCTGATTAATCTTTTGGTTTTATTTCACGTTTTATGTCCATCTTTTTTAATGCCATTTTGATAACTTTTTACTTTCATCTCTGGTAAGTTGATGTATGCTTTTCCATTTTTATATATGAAGGGGCACTTCATTAGACTTCGATCAAGCCACCAGGGTATAAAATTAGCTGGTGTCACTAACCGAGTAGTCCTATTAACCTGCATTTAAACAGTTTGAAGAACTGTTGAATTGCTGTGAACCCCACCCTTGCTTATCAAACTGATTAATAATTCAATCCAGCAGAATATAGCTGAGAGGCAACCCTCCGCTTCAAACAGGAGTGAGATTCTACTCTCTCTAGATCTGAAAATTGGGGTGTCATGGGGTGTGGGTATCTCAACACACTTTTAGGGTTTTTATTCTTTTTTTTCTTTTTATGTCATCTGAACCTAAACCAGTCGCGTTTTTCTGCCCCCCCCCCCCCTAAAAAAAGTAAAATGAAATAAATAAATAAAAATAAAAGAAAGAAAAAAGTGGTTAATATTTAGATAAACAAATAAAATGAATTTTTAAAGGAAAAACTCTTACTTGCATTTCCGACACCCCTAATGCGTTGTGCACTACGTGATCCAATATTTGCCCCATGGAGTGGCCGTCAATTAGCCCGGCTGAGCATTCATACCGATACATTATTACAGCCAGTAACACTAGTGTGATCGCCGGGAAGTTTGTAACGCCATGTTGTCGCTTTTGGAAACCCATCTGGAATAGAAATGCGAAATAGGCATAATACAGGTATGTTTTTGTTCGATGTTCGATGAAAAACTGTGAAAAATGGTGCACTTTGAAATTAATCAAAAATAAATTGCTCAGTAGCATAATATCAAGAAAGGAAAGGGAAACAAAAGCGTATGACTAGACAGATGTATTAATGGAAAATATTTAAAACGACTACCTGAACGCTTTGGGGCAATCATTTTGTAGCGCGTTGTAATGTTTATGTGGTAGGAGTACAAATGTCTCATTCATAATAACAACTACCACTACTATGACTACTACTATACTGCTACTGCTGCTAGTAAAAATAATGATAATACCAGACAAAAACACTAGCAAGTGCACAGAACACATATATAAAGCTGCAGAATGTAGATAGATTACACGAACACATGGCATCTGTCGGTTCACAGAACGATGTCAACTTTCTCGTACAACCTGTCTAGCTTATGTTATGAAATATGAAAAAATTAATAAACCTTACCTTTCACAAAAATCTAAAATTTGAATCAGCAGGTTGGTGCCATTGAAAAATGCTTGAAATCATCCAGTACCACGCTTTGACACGTGCAGAGGGTCTACTCAATACCAACATGGTCACTCTAATCGTCAGTAATCTACGAGAACGACTGAATTGTTTGTCCGTCATCCATGAGCAATAAACCTTGACAGCACACGTGAAAATGTTGAGAGATGTTGTCCAGTTGTGACAGGATTGGTGGTACGTCCTAGGAATGGAAGTCCTGGGTCCCATGTGACAAGCACAGCTGTCAGGTGAGGGTTAGTTGGAGCATTAGGGTTAGTACAGTGTATATGGGACGAACGTCACTTGTGCAAAGTACAATAATGGGGAACGGGCTATGATTCCTATCGAACTACCATTCCTGTCACACCTGGTTCCAAATGTCCATTGCCACTTGCGGTCGAAGACCGACACCCTTTGTTCAAGAGTGTAAAGTTTACCTAGTTGTACCACTGCCAGATGTAGGCCTACAGAGAACCTTTCCAGCTGCCTTTACACCAGGATGCAAACAGAAGAATAAGGATAAAACTTTTTCTAAATCCGTCTGTATATGTGCAAGCATTGTTGTCTAGTTTTTAAAAATAAATTTAGAAAAGGCTGTAATATAAAGATATTTAAGAAAATTAAGACTGATATAAACGGCGGAAAGATGCGGAAAATGGTTTGGCCATTGTTCTATGCCTTTAATTTCTAGGACAGACTTACATATATTGAAACTTGCTGTTTAAAATTTCAATAAAATCAATTTTATTTCCAACATTTTCCTTAGTTAGACTCACTTTCAGAATTGGTCAAAGACTTGACTCTTCTTGTTTTGATTACATTTTTTAATGTTCAATTAATGTTAAAATACTTTCTTATTTTCCTAATGCTTGGAAACTTGGACAATGTTTTGATTTACAGAAAGATTCGCTTGGTATTTTGGTATTGTCATTCCACATGTGTTATTTTAACTAAAAATTGCTTTTAATGCAAAACTTGCAGCAACTTATATATATATATGAATGGATTGCAAATTCGTGTCTGGATGTACATGCTTGGTCATATTTACGCCCTACTATAACGAGTGGTTTTGATCACGATACGAGGAACTAGAATGCGTGCGTAGAGGACACCTACCGCAATCGCAGGGAACAGCTCGCGAGGTCGGACAGTACTGTAGCCAAGGAGAAGTAACCGACTTTAGTTAAGCGTTGCTAATACGTTACATATATATTTCACCCAATCTCCTCCCGCAGTAAACAAAATTTAGAACAAACTGCAAACTTTGCTGAACGTTTCCATGATCTTCACATGGCATTTCAAAAGCAATTTTTTAAATCCTTTTCTACAGTAATTATTCATCTTTACGATGAGACATTCAAAACAAACACCAGATTCTGTATCATTTTCGTTTTATGAAAGACAAGTGGTATAAATACATTATATTTAAAGCAGTAGTTGATAAGAAAAAAATCTTTATCATGGGTCTTCCTTAATTAAAAAATTCACTGACTGAGAATGTGTAAACTCTCTTTGTTAGTGTAAATAAAATTTTATAATAATGTGATTTTCAATAAATACTGAAAATATGCCTTGAACTTAACACGTTATAGACCACTTCAAATATGCCAAACATCTTTCATAATACTGACATGGTCCTTATCGATGAGTTCAATGAGAGAAGAGAAAAAATAAGGTATCACATTTCTGTGTATTTCTGCTGTGACAGGCAATGAGAAAACATTCAGCGGTCTGGAATATCTGAAATGGCCTATTCCACAACTGATGGCACACGTCAGAAGAGTGTGTAGTGTTTATGCTATAGTTGAAACGACAAATTCAGATCTTTCCATGGTAAATGAATAAATTTACCATTCTGAAGAGATAAACTTTTTATCATTGAGAAGTCTATTTGAAACTTTTACCCTAGTAGAGAAAGGGAAAACTATTTGATAATAAAAACTCTGTAAAACTTTGAACTGATCTTAGGCCCTTATAAATGCACATATGGATTTTGACTGAAATAATTGGCATATAAGATGGATTTCTTATTGTAGACAGTGCAGATTTATATACATATACATCTTTTAAAGTACTTGCAGTAGTATAGAAATGGCACATAATACTAATAATAAGACACACCATCACCTTATGTATATAAATTTTGTGTCAATTTAAAATAGAGTTAACAGATATTTTGACAGCAATCTATTATTCTCATCCTAAATTATCAATATTAAGTTTCTTTCTCAATAAGTATTATCAGTAAATATTTATTATATAACAGAAAAATACCAAAAAATAGACCTGGTCCCTTCCACACAGATTGTACCTGGTATGATATTTGGAGAATTTTTCAATGTAAAAAACTTGTACATATTTTAACAAAATACTTCTCCACTCTTTGAGAAAGGGGTTAGTACAAAATACTGCCATATCCTCTGAGGAAGGGGAGTGGTTCAAAATGCTGTCTGATCTTTGGAGGTAAGGTCCAAAATACTGCCTGATCCTCTGAGGAAGAGGGTGGTACAAAATACTGCCTTATACTCCGAGGAAGAGGAGTGGTGCAAAATGCTGTCTCACCCTCTAAAGAAAGGGGTGGTTCTGGAGTTTAGCAAAAAACTGAAACAGCAACTGACAGAAAAAAAAAAAAACACAGCTGCTGTTATTTAAATAATCTAAATAAGGAATCAGGGATATAATCAACATTAAAAGGATGTTTAATGAACATCTTGATATATCTTAGTTACCATTTAAAAACTTTGTAGAAAATGTTCATGTTACCTTGAATTATCTGCACTACCAACATGCAGATGCTTTAAAAGACACTTAATATGTACAAATAAAGTAATAAGCAGCAATTCATGTTTAAATAGGTTTATAAAAAAGCATTTCTAAGTACAGTCTACATCTTCTAGGCACTATACGAAAGACATCAAAATGACCAAAGGTAAATCCAAAAAAGTTTTTCATACATGTATCAAGAACAACAATTAACCAATCCTTGAAAGGTATTCATGAGACCAATCATATTTCAGTTTATATCAAACTGATGTCCCTGGAAGCTCGCTGGTGATGGCAGGGATGTCATCCAGGACGACAACCTCATAAGGTGAGCACTCCATCAGATCAACCTTGGCACAGAACCAGCCAAAGAACCCCTTCTCCAGGTCTCGCATCTCCTTCAACCAGCTCTTGAACCACCACGATATCTGGATCAGTGCAGCATAGAGGGCGATCCCCAGTGCACTCAGCCCCACGGTCAGTGGGAAGGTCAGTATTAAGAGTGGACAGAGGAAGACTTTGTGCCAGATTGTCCTCTCTTCACTGAAATAAATAAAGATGTTGTACCATGTCTGCGCCCCAAGGTAGAAGGACAAACCTAGTGAGCCAAAGAAAGCAAATGGGGTAACTATCACAGTGAATAGGAAAACATGGATTCCTTTTTTTAACCCACAAAGGGTACACTCCCCTGGGCCGTAGACAGACTCCTCGTCCTCGTGACCCAGTTTCTGTAACTCGTCTTTGGAGAGTCGCAGCTCCACCTCCACTGACTGACCAGCTTTAGGACCTCTCTTTATGGTCCCTGTCACTGTCACTTTTTGCTCACTAGGTGGCGTTAATTTTTCTCGTACAGAAACAGATTCATCTATGTCAGACTGAGGCTCCGTTCCGGAGTGATCATGGTGGTGGTCTTGATCGAGTGTCTCTATAGCTGCTTGATGCAGACTGGTGGAAGTCTCTTGACTGGAAGACTGTTCAATTCCATTATGGGCATGATCTAGTTGTGGCATGGTATGAGATTACACAGCAGTCTAAGGATGTACTATGAAACCATCAAATCTGTTTAATACCTGTGAGGATCTTGGCCCTAAATATCTGAAACACATAAAAATAATTTTGAAATGTGTATTATAGTAATAAATATATCTTTTATAATCTACCAATATAATCTAAGCAATATTTTATTAACCATGCAGACACGAGCCTAGGTTTAAAAAAAAAAAAAACTCTGAACATTTATCCCCCCTTCCCCAGATTTCATTGCAGATCTTGGTGAATCTCAGGAACCATTAGAATTGAATTTAAAAAATGCAGAATTTCATGTTTCTGCAGAAAAAGCTCTTCTCTAATGAACAAGAGAAAAATGCTTTCAAAACTTGCCTTTCTTGTGCTCAAAATCTTGGACTTAATGGGTAAGTGTAAATATGCACAGATAAGGTGCTTGTTCAGAGGTGAAGGGAAAAGGGGGGGGATAGGGGGATAGCACTGTATTGTCTCTTAATAGAAGTAAGATTTCTTTTTGATTCATGGCACTCCGAGTGAAAAAAATGAAGCACAATTAAGTCTTGATGTGGTTGAGAATTAATAGGATACCACCGATAGTGATGTTGCCTCAGGATGAGGCCTTGTTATGCGGTAAGATCAGCGTGAGAACTCGCACTAACGCAAATGAAAGAGTGATGCATACTCTACAGGCACACCCGTTTTGAGCATTTGTTTACATTATCTCTACCCATGGCCTCTCCATTTACTTCATATTCATACCTCTAAATCATAGATTATGGACGCCACTATGAAAGAAAACAACACTGACAGATACAGAAACCGCAATACAATTTCTGATATGAAATAACCAGATTTACATATGTCTATTTACTTTGTTTTCTAAATGCAAATGTACTTACGCAAAGCAACAAAACAAAACATGCGTGCACGATGTTAAATTGCCGGTTTTTGTCTTACTGGCCCTAAAATATAATCCTGATTAAACGCACGAGTGCATGATCACGTGTAGCAAACCCCTTCTGCATCAATAAGACACATGCATCACAAAAAAATCAATAAATCATCGATCAAAAATCAGCTGTTCTTCAACAGTGATCATCGGAAATGAGATCTGCGCATGCGGCTAGTTCAGGAGTTATGGGAAAATTTTATGGCGGACGGAGGGTAGTCTGCTGCGCTCCTTGAAGATGGTAAACAAAGACGTTTAAAGCCTCTGAACATGATCATTTTGAGGATTTGTTAAAACAGAACAATGGAGCAAGATGTCAATGTGAGGGAACAGATCTTTCATGACAACGTGAGGGAGTATATAGTAAGTGTTTACTTTTATTACCACTTCGTTTGAACGCTGTTGTTGATATGATAATCGTGAAATGCTTCGACGAAGGGTCAATGTTCAGACGATCACTCGAAAGTGTGACATTTCACATTTTGGAAGTTTTAGGCTTACATTTACCCATCCTGGCATTTAACTCTGCATACCAAATTTTATCGGGGTTATGTTAACTTTTTTTCTGTTTGTATACTGTCACAGTAGACGCTAGTAACGCTGACGTGTTTTTACTTGATGATTGATACTCTACTACAGCAGATGTAAGATTTATAATTGAACCGTCCATGGCAAGGCAAATATAAGTAAAATCATTAATTAACGCCATTGATCTCCTTACCGATGGGCTGCAACGTCATCCAGTTTACCAATGATTTGTACGCTAACTGATGTATGAATGAATGGGAAACTTTGACAAAAAAAAAAAAAAAGAGTTATTTATGAAATACACCTATGAAATACCAAATTCAAACCAAAGACTTCTCATGGTTCCCATGGATTTCTAAATTTGATAGGTGGAAAAGAAATGCAAAGCTGTGGAAAATAACACTTGTTCATAACTGAAATTAACTTTCAAGTTAATTTTTGCTTTTAATGAGTTGTGACATTACTGCAAAGGTGTTTTAAATTAAAAATTATTTATAAATCATCGTCTTTTCCAGTTTAATTAACATACATGTATTTTAGACAGATATAAAATCCTTGTATTGCAAGCAAGGGATGAGAAAAAATGACATACAACCAGCTAATGAGCTGCTCACACTTAAGACATGCTGTGATTTCAAATAATGGATTGATATATTGAACACAGGAATGAAACAATGTAATGGTTCAATACAAAAGAATCATGAATGTGTTAATGTACATATAATCTGGGTAAGGTTGATGAAGAGTATAGAAGTGAAAAGGAACTTATAAATCATGAAGATAAATAATGCATGATGAGTAACAATGAATGTGTAATAAGGGCTGCACTTGCTGGTGAAAATGGGATGGGGGGGGGGGGGG